TTTTTGCCCCTTTTTCCCCGAAAAAGCATTAGGCCCAAAAACCACTTAGGCTAAGTTTTTTTACCCGTGGTTTTCCCCATGCGGCCCCCCCCCATGTTTTTCCCATCTTTTTTGAAAAAAGGAATTAGGGGAGTGTTTTTACCCCCAAAAAAAAAAATTTTCCCTTTCCCCCTTTTGGGGTATGTTGGGGGTATTTTTGGATCTTTTTTATTTCTGGCTATGGGGGTTTCCGGGTTTTAAAGACATTCTATTTATTGTTCTCTTGTTTTTAAAGCATGTATGTTTTTTTTTCCCCCAAATTGATTCACTGAAAATTTTTGGGGTTCTTCCCAAAGCTCCCGTTGGTGATTCTGCCCCAAATTAATCCCATTTTGTGGGTTTATTGAAACTGTTTTTTGTTTTTTCTCCCTTTTTTAAAAACGGGCCCCCAAAATGAAGTAAAAGGACAGGGGAAACATTGTAAACTTTTTTTTTTTTTTTCCAATTTCATTGTTATTTTTTCTGTGTTCACCACAGAGATAAAGAATGGAATAAGACAGACTAACATTGCATTTAAAAAACAAAATTTTTTTATTCAATAAATCCATGTCATTAGAGGTTAGGAAAAGAGTTCTTGCATGCTGCGTGGAGCCAATTGAATATTATGGTGAATCCCCACAATGAGTACACAAGCTAATCAATTTCTTGAGGCTCTGGAGGTCTAGTTTGACAGAATAATGCTTGAGATTCCTAGGAAAGCCAAAAAAGAGCAACCCAGATGTTTTAAAAGAAGCTAGGGCTTGAAGACAACACATCACAAACATCAAGCCATGTTGTGAGAAGAGGGCAAACCAAAACATTTGGTGACCACTGGAAAGATCTGTGGGAAAAAGAGACAGAGGAAGACAAGACAAGACTATTCTTGACAGCCTGTTATCATGATGTTGAGGGATGTCAACACACAAACTGATGCAGGCTGTTGGAGATGACACAATGTGGAGGGGTGTCAACACACAAACTGATGCAGGCTGTTGGAGATGACAGAATGTGGAGGGGTGTCAACAAACAAACTGATACAGGCTGTTGAAGATGACAGAATGTGGAGGGGTGTCAGCACACAAACTGATGCAGGCTGTTAAAGATGACAGAATGTGGAGGGGTGTCAGCACACAAACTGATACAGGCTGTTGAAGATGACAGAATGTGGAGGGGTGTCAGCACACAAACTGATACAGGCTGTTGAAGATGACAGAATGTGGAGGGGTGTCAGTACACAAACTGATACAGGCTGTAGATGACAGAATGTGGAGAGTCATGATTGCCCACACCAGTTGGCAAACCACTTGATGATGAAAACGTTTTGTCCTGAAAATGATAAACATGCAGACGTACAAACACTTGGAGCCACCAGCTGGAATGATAAGGCTAGTCAGAGAGATAAATGGAGGCGGGTGATATCTGCATGAGTGGACCTCAGAGGCTAGTCAGAGAGATAAATAGAGGCGGGTGATATCTGCATGAGTGGACCTCAGTCTTAAACAAGTGCAAGAATTAAAATACTTGGTAAGCATCTTGTCAAATTTATTGGGAAACAAAGAAGGAAATAGTTTAACCATCTAATGAGAATGAAAACAACAATACCAGAAGCAAAAGCGTACAACCTGAAAATCCAAAAACCAAGAGGCAGGGGAAGACCAATAAAAATATGGATTAAAGGAGTCACTGACACCTTGAGACTGCATATAACATCACGGCATAACATGTGATCAAGCACGCCCTGACTTGGCTGCCGCTCATCTGAAGAACTGCAACGCCTAGCGGCATAAGCAGATATTGACAAAAGAAAAAAGAAGCTCCCTTTATGTAATTATTGAGGAAGAGGGGGGGTGTTATGTTTGTGCTACTAGGTTTCATTGTAAAGACATTTCAGCAGAATTGAGAATACTTTCTCCCACTCTGGTTCTTCCAGTTTTTGCATAATCCTAAAATGCTAATCCTATCATGTTTCTTTTCTTATACTACCTGCTGTACTGCCATCCTACATCTTCCTAGTGGTTTTTTAACAGGCACACCATTGACTGACAAGGCTAGAGGTTCGATCCCCTCACCCAGGTTCAGAAATCCTTAAAATAAGTTCAGGTTATTCACTTGTAAAAAGTCTTCTGTCTCTGAAGTCTGCTGTATTCGAAATCTGCTGTGTTCGAAATCTGTTGTATTTGAACCACTTATATGCATATATGCATGCTGAGTTGAATATATATGTCGAGTTAGATGCTGAAGCCAAGTTGGTAGAAGCTGAAACCAGGTGAGAAGCAGATGGCATGCACTTAGACCACTTCTGTCGGAGAATAGACGAGGGGCATATAACACCTCTGAACATATTGTCGAATCAGCAACAGGTGTTTTCTTTTACCTGTTAGTTCCAGCATATAGCTAGGATTTTGTTCAATCTGCCATCTATTTTTTCGCCAGTGTTCTGATGTTGTTCTGTTTGGTTAGGATTAATTTCCATGGATGTTGATTCTTCATTTGGCACATTAGATTTCCAGTTCTGGCCAATTGCTGCTGTAGCATATTTTGTTCAAAGCATTTGCTGTTGTAAAATTGTATCTATATTTACTTGTTACTTTGGAGCTGTACTGGTGTAGAGGCTAGAAGCTTCCCTACCAGCCTGAAGGTCTTTTGTTCAGATCTACATCAGACAGTGTCAGTTCATCATCAACATCGTTGATTGGTCTATAAATTTAAAAAATCCCATACTTTACTTTTTGTTACTTTAGCATGATTTATCCTTAGGAGTAGTTTCCAGTTAGCTAAAATGGACCAGCTCCTCTTATTTTTGAACGACTGTTATTGATCTCATACTTTTTATTGGTGATTTTTAAAAAAAAATGTGTATTAGAATCGCAACCAAAGAAAGAGGATGGATGGTGGTCTGTGCCAGTGGATTTGCTGCTGAAGGCTAGTGCAGTTGCCGTGGACTACACATGTTAGGCTCCTCCTCCTCCTTCTTCTTCTTCTTATTTGTCTTCTTCTTCTTCTGCGTTTTCTTCTTTTCCTTCTCCTACTTCTCCTCCTCCAACTTCTTCGTCTTCTTTTTCTTCTGCGTCTTCTTCTTCATCTTCTTTTTCTTCTTCTGCATCTTATTTTTCTCCTTCTCCTCCTTCTGCTTTTTCAGCACTCCAAACCCTTGAGGTTGATGGTTGTAGGTATCACCCACCTCTGTTCATCTCTCATTTACTGTCTCTTTCCATTTGGTAACTCCAGATGTTTGTAGGTCTGCCTGTATATCACTCTGCACTCTTCTTGGTCTACTCTTGAACTGCTCTTTTTAAACACAGTTTTTATCTTTCTGATATCTAGTATATGTTTACTAGTAATGTATTTTTTATGCTTGTTATTCACTGCCAGTTTCCTGAAGCACTTACAATACCTTCAGTATCTTTATACTATCTCAGTATTTCTCTATGAGTTCCGGGGCCCCATAGTGAGGAAAACAAGAGTAGATACACTGCCTACCCAACAAGCATTTCTTAAGAGTCGACTAATTGGGTGCTTCCTTCAAAGTCAGAGTGCATCTGCCTGCGATTCAAGGAACCAAAAGTCTGCTTACAGATAAGTCTTATCTGTAAAAGGGATGTACACACAACACTCCAGTTCTGGAACAAGACTAAAGTCCAGAAGTGGGTGAGCAGCCAGAATTTTCGCTGGAGTTTACATCTGGTGAAAGCGAAGAAGAGTTTCAACTTCACAGCAAATGTGTCCTCCCACAGTTGCTCAATTCCTGGGTCAGAAAAACCATATGGAATGTCCGTCGCTGTCCCTTGTGAGAAACTTGAAACAGACTGCATTCTTGGCAAGTCACCAATTTAGGCATATAAAATCTACAAGGTAGCCACTAGAAGTGCCAAAAGAAATGGTTCAGATCTGTGGCTGCACAGGCAGTTAATCGCATGAGGCCTCATCAGTCTGTGGCAACAAGCCGTTCACCATTTTCTTTCTGAATCTGCTGCTCACAACACATACCATATTGGACACAGTCAAAAAGCATTATAAATTAAATTAACAAACTCACAGTGTCGCGCCATGCACTCAGTCAGTAGCTGGGTGATGGAACTTTTTTTTTCCCAGTCCAGCTCTGGGAGAAAATGCAACATCCAACAATTTCTATAAGCAAATAAATAGCTAAAACTAAAACATCAGACTGTCAGCCACCAAGTGTAAGAAGGGTTCCCATATTGATGATGTCCTCTTGTGTTTTCCTCTGTTCACTGAGAACCAAACCTGGACCCTCTGCTTAATCTCCTCTTTAGTAGGTAAATTATCAGTGTCTTGTGACCACAAAGTTGTGCCGCTGGTTTTGGGAACAATGTTTGCTATAAATGTAAAGTCCTATGTGGAAGTGGTAGACTGCCTTATCATCAGTCATCAAGTCTTTTACAGAACATTGCTTTCTTCACAGCACATCTGAAAGTATCCCTTTCCCTAGCCAGCTGTCCGGCCCCATGTGCTTTCAGTGCCAGTGCTTCTTCAATGTCCTGTATCCATCTTCCCTGTGTTCGACCCCTGCCTCGCCTTCCACACATTGCACCCTCCATCACCGTCTTTTCCAAGCCACCATGGAGCTTAATGTGGCCAAAATACTTCACCTTTTGGGACATGATTCTATTTTTGTGGCAGTTCTCCCTGATGTTCAACTCGTTTATAATGTCTATGTTTTTCCTCTTCTTGATCCATGGTATTTTAAGAATTTTTCTATAACATTTCAATTTAAAAGCTCCAATGTTTTTCCTCAGTGACTGAGTGAGAGTTCAAGACTCACAACCGTTAGTTGCCACAGGAAAAATGCATGATCTCAAGATTTTACTTTAACCAATTTACTAGCGCTAAAACCAATTTACTAGCGCTTTGCCATAGGTTTAATCTTCCTTATAGTCCACATAAAAATGTTAAAATCTCGTTCTGAGACTGGTTTTCTCTCTGACATCTCCTCTCTATAACTTGCTGTGTTTGGCCTCGTCCAAACTACTGCAGTCTACCTTTCACTGTCTGCCTCCAAAGGAGTTGGGTCTGCAGCTGATCTCTCACAAGTGTCTGTGTCAGTGTTGATATATTTCAGGTGGCATTTGCATATGTCCTTATAGCATAGTTTGGCCTTCCTGTAAGTCTTATCCCTGTTACCAGGGAGATCCTTCAGCATGCTTGTTAAGGAGGCAGTGGGTCTATTCTCCACACACCCAGAAGCCACACGGGAAAAGTTGGTGTGAGATTAACTGGTTAACTCTTTGTTGGTTGCTCGAAAGGGGAGCAGTGAAGGTGTGAGAAGGCACTGAGTGCAGGGATATCAGTTCTTGATTGATTACCTGATTGATTGATTCATTGTTTCTGGCAGGTTGATCAGACTTTCAAGGGAGGTGTCTACCGTGGCGGAGGCCTTGACCAGATCAGTCTTGTTGGAACTGTCAATGAAGAGGTTGGAGACTTTTTCCCAGATTTGCTGGACAAATTGGAGTCTGACCCGTTTATTTGTGCTGTCACACCCTGGGGCCGTTTGTCCAAAGAGAAAATGCAATCTCGTAAGGAGAGCGATGATGGCCCAATTTTGTGGACACGGCCAGGGGAGCAGATGATTCCTCCGGCAGAAATGCCTAAGTCCCCCACAAAACGGAAAAGGTAAGTCTTGAAACTGAGTCAGAAGTAACAATTCTTCTCTCCATGGCAGTTGCTATTTTATCTCTGATTGGTTGGTGGCTTCTCAAGTTTCGACTGTCACGTCTTATGCATTGGAGACAATTTCAGCTCATCTTTTGTCAGTTTTAATATATTTTTTATGAAGAATCATCATAGTATAACATAACCTTTTACTAGTTTCACCACTGCCAAGAGAGGCTCTTGATGTCCTGCAAATTTTTAAATTTGTTTGATCCCTTACATAATTGTTAGTTTTATGTTCTAAATAGCTAATTCGTAAAATTTGTCATATGAATAATCAGTTGTGCCATTACCTGGGGCTTGCTGCCTATTTTTCTGTTCCTTATATCCTATGTAATCTTTTTAATATCCTAAATGGAATGCGGTCCAACACCTTTGGCCTCTGTTGTCAATGTCCATCTTAAAGTTTCTCTTATATGTCCTAATTTTAGCAGTCTCTCCTCTTCCTCCATAATTTTACACTTGTTTGGAAAAGAGAATGGCAAGGGAAGTCACTCATTGGGCCGGGAGACATAAATTGAACCAATGTTTCTTCAACTTTGATGGCATATGTTAAAAATGAAAGAACATGAATAAAAATAGGTAACTTGGTTTAATGACCAATACAATGGTATAAAGAGAAAAAGAAAGAAACACCTTTTTTTTTCAATTAATTTTGTAACAGATAAAAATATTAAAATATTTTTTGCAATTATGTAGGCCAGATATTCCAAGCATGTTCTCTGCTAAGGCATAAGGTCTCTGTAATTACTTCCCAGGGACGCTGTGACTGCTGCAAGAAAATAAATAAACTAAATGAAATAACATATTGAGAAACAAAAAGTAGAACTTAAATAAAAAAAAATACAAATTGCATTCTGACAGGGGAGCTAACGAGTTGAAGAACCTCCACTATTTGCCAAGGGCGTCTGAGCCAAGAGAGTTCTTGTTTGAGGACCGGACCCGATGCCATGCTGACCACGTTGACCATGGTCCCGACAGAATGACCACAGCAGCTGTCGGCATGTTAAAGGCAGTCCATAAAAGAAATTCAGACAGGTAGGTTGGGACTGTTAGTGTGTGTGTACAGCTGTAAACAGAGCGTTTGTAATGATGTGAAAGACAAAATGCATGATGTCTTTCAAATAATGTGCTGAACAGTCAGTTGCAAAGCAATATGCATTGAATGACTAATCTGCTGGAGCAATTCTTTGCACTCAAAACAGAATTGTTGTTCAAGGAGGCATTAAAAATCACCATTCAAGAAATAACAACAGAGATGCTGCAGAAGGTATTTGTCAGTATTGAGAGATGTTTACAGTCATGTCTTGAAGCCTGCGGTGGACGTTTCCAAGACCTGTTATAACAAATATTTCATTGGTTCTTTCCAGCTTCCATGAAACAGCATTAGACCAAAGGGGTAACTATTGTAATGACTTTTTAAGCACATTTTTTATGAAGTCGTGTGCTTTCAGATTTTTTTTTTTTAAAGTGTAGTGAGACTTTACAAACACCCTGTAGTATTTCTAGTGACTGTTCAGATTTGTGTCATTGCATTTCGGGCAGGAGGTGTAGTGTGCTGAGTTGGTGGGAAGGTGTCTGAGTTGGTGGGAAGATACGCTAGGCAGTGGAGAAAATGCTGGCGGCAATAGGGAGGATATTTTGGAGTATGGAAGATACAGTAGGCAGTAGAGAGGATATGTTGGGTAGTATGGAAGATACAGTAGACAGTAGAGAGGATATGTTGGGTCACATGGAAGATACAGTAGACAGTAGAGAGGATATGTTGGGTCACATGGAAGATACAGTAGACAGTAGAGAGGATATGTTGGGTAGTATGGAAGAAACAGTAGGCAGTAGAGAGGATATGTTGGGTAGAATTGAAGAAACAGTAGGCAGTAGAGAGGGTAAGTTGGGTAGTATGAAAGATACAGTAGGCAGTAGAGAGGATATGTTGGGTAGTATGGAAGATACAGTAGGCAGTAGAGAGGGTAAGTTGGGTAGTATGAAAGATACAGTAGGCAGTAGAGAGGATAAGTTGGGTAGTATGGAAGATACAGTAGACTGTAGAGAGGATATGTTGGGTAGGATGGAAGATACAGTAGGCAGTAGAGAGGATATGTTGGGTAGTATGGAAGATACAGTAGACTGTAGAGAGGATATGTTGGGTAGTATGGAAGATACAGTAGACAGTAGAGAGGATATGTTGGGTAGTATGGAAGATACAGTAGGCAGTAGAGAGGATATGTTGGGTAGTATGGAAGATACAGTAGGCAATAGAGAGGATATGTTGGGTAGTATGGAAGATACAGTAGGCAGTAGAGAGGATATGTTGGGTAGGATGGAAGATACAGTAGGCAGTAGAGAGGATATGTTGGGTAGTATGGAAGATACAGTAGACAGTAGAGAGGATATGTTGGGTAGTATGGAAGATACAGTAGGCAGTAGAGAGGATATGTTGGGTAGTATGGAAGAAACTGGCAAGTAAGGATATGTATATATACGCACACTACTCTTGTCGGTTTGTTTCATTCATAATGATCTGTTTGTTCCTGCTGTCTTGACTGTCATTTTCCTATTTATTCCATGACCAAAGTGTTTCTTCACCATCTGTTTCTTGAACGTTCTCACCATCTTCGGTACAATATTTTTTGCCTCCCCCAAACACGAAATTCCCGTGGGAATTCCACAGCTGACTTGACAGTCCATTATTTCAAGGGGTGCAAGTGTGCTGCTGTCTGCTGCTGTTTTTGAGTGTTCATCTAGTGTCTTATGGTGCGACATATTTCGGTCTGTTGATGCGCATTTGGCTGCTTGATGATGCGCAATTGGCCGGTCTGCATTATTAGTCATGTTTTCATAATATGTCAACATGTGAGTGCATAGGGTAGTTGGTATCACATCTGCCTTGTAAATGAAAGAGGCCGTGTTCAATACCGACGTGATCCATTGTGAATTTACTTTTTTTTTTTTTCAAATGAAATGTAAATTGTGTGTGTTTTTTGTTGTCACAATGTTCTTTTTTAAAAATAAAATGTAAATTGTGTGTTTTAAATTAAATGTAAATTGTGTGTGTGTGTGTGCGCGCGCGTGTGTGCGTGCGTGCGCGTTTTTTTTTTAATAAAATGTAAATTGTGTGTTTTAAATGAAATGTAAATTGTGTGTGTGTGTGCGTGCGCGCGCGTGTGCGTGCGTGCGTGTGTGTGTGTGTGTTTTTTTGTTGTTGTTGTTGTCACAACGTTTTTTGTAAAAATAAAATGTAAATTTTGTGTATGTGTGTTTGTTGTCACAACGGGTTTTTTTTCACCATATGTAAAATGTGCACTTTGGCTATGTGAACTCTATGTGCAATCGCAGGAAATGAAAACTGGGGTACTGTGGGGGGCCCTAAAAAGGGCCAATCATTCTACATGAATACTGCTGGGTTCACGCACGAATTGACAATCACAGAGATTGTACACGTTAGTAGATCTGAACTGAGGTCAAACTGCGGTGGCAGAAGAGACGACGGACTAGTAGTCTCTCGGGGGCCAGAATCTAGCAATGTCTGCTAGTATGGTTTCAAACATGTCGCCACCCGCACGTTGAGCGCGCCTGCGCCACAGAAACTCACACATGTAAGATTCTAATAAATGTCTGTGGGTGCCATTCTGGCGCTTGTTTCTCTCCTTTGCCGACCTCCACAAACGTTCGGTGCATTGCGTATGAGCACCTGTGGTGGGGTCGACAAAATTAATGGAGTGATTGACGGTAAGATGCGTCAATCCAGGAATATTCTTAATTCCATTGTATGCACGCCACATGTCGAAAACTACTGTCGTTCCGGGTCTGATGTTTGCGCTAATGATCGGCAGAAGCGTCTCTGCTTTTCTGTCTGGGACGCTGACCAGAAAGCATTCGCCCGTCTCGCGACAGACTCCGCCAAATACCCACTGTTGTGGAAACACACGTCCAACATGATTTTTACGTCTTGCAAAGAGACTTTCATCGATTTCAACAGTGGTGTTCTCTCCACCAGTCACTGCAGGATTCAATAACAAAGTATTGGCACAAACCTCCCTTAGGAAATGCTCCATTCCACCGTCGCAGTCGGCGACATGCTCAGCTCTACTTGGCAAAATCGAATGCTTGTCATCTCGTGAGACCAGCAGTATATAAAAAGAATGCTCTGTCTATATGGGAGCCGTCATCCTTCCAGCCATGTTCCTTGCCGCAGAGGTAAGTCTACACGACAAGTGGACTTTCTACAGCGCCAACGGTCGTGTCTTTCAGACACCGATAGCAGCATCTGATGGTTGTTTCTGCAACTTCTGGTTCTGTGCAGAATGCCATGCTGTTGCAGGAAGGCAATGCTGCTTTCTTTGTCTTGTACCGATGCAACTAGCTGTAGAAAATTCATCGTGACTGTTGCTGGAAACAATGGCAACTGACTGACGCCGGAAAAGAGCGGTAAACATACGTCATCAATGTTGCTCTACTTTTCTTTGACAAAAACATCCAAAGTGGAGTCAAAAAAGATCTTAAAATATCCAAATTTGCGTGGAAAACATAGAAAAAAAAATTCAAACGGTAAGAGTCACAAATTACATAGCTATTAATATGACTAAAATGTGTAGCATTAATCTGTACCGAAAAATAAATGTGGCCAGTGTAACAGCTACCACATCACCCTTAGAGTGCCAGTACTACTGCTGCTACCACTACCACCACCACCGTCACAACAACACAAAACGGTCACTACTGTCTGTACAGGTCGTTGTAAGTGTGCCCCCGACATAAAACTCTATCACCTAACCATGGGCGAACGCAAGGGGAAGAGGGGGGGGGGGCATTTGCCCTGGATTGATTGAAAAAAAAAAACGAAATGATGTTGCTTGTTCATCTGCAGCAGCAACGCTATCACCAGAACCAGACCCGGACAAACTTGAAAGTGAAGATACTATGTTAACCTAGGACATTGAACTCTGTGTAAAATCTACTACGAAGATTCGATCTTAAGCTCAAGTATCGTTTGCTTACTGATCCATACAAGCCTCACCCGTCATATGATTTTGAAGGCGACATGTCAGGAAGTGGAAAACGTTGTTTCATGAAATCTTGGCTAACCCAGTATTCTCTATGGTTATCATATTCACGTAGGTTAAAAAGTGCTTTTTGCATTTTCTGTGTTTTATTTCCGCAACCAGTTCAAAAAGGAATTCAAGGTGCCTTCATTACTATTCCTTCTACAAAGATTTTAATGAATGTGCCAGAAACCAGCTCAGCATGGCATCGTGGGTCTTAACAAGATGCTGAACACTTGGCGTCAACCATTAGAGATCCAAAAAAGGATATTATTTGTCAGATAGATAATTCCGTAAAACGAACTATTGAAGAAAACAGAAAGAAACTGTATCCTTTTATTTCAACAATCTTATTTTGCGGAACAAATAATTTGGCAATTCGTGGGAAAGATAGCACCAAAGGAAATGTCGAACAACTTTATAAGTATCGAATTGAGGGAGGAGACAGTATTTTAAAAAAAAAACCATTTTGATACAACTGCCGGAAATGCACGTTACACATCACATCGAACGCAGAATGGTTTGATTAATTTGTCTGAACAAGCTTTGCGAGAAGACATTGTAAAAGCTGCTAACAATGCTGTTGGATTCTTGATCATAGCCGATGGAACAGCAGATATCTTAGGAGCAGAACAGTTATCACTGGGAGTCCGGTTTGTAGATACGTCTAGTGAGAAGGCTATGATTCGTGAGGAATTCCTTGGATTTTCTCCGCTGAAAGGTATGGACGCTGATTGTATTATTCAGCATTGCAAAACATTTAGTCTTCTCCTTAATAATCTGCTGGGTCAAGGTTATGATGGGTGCTCGACAATGGCCGGAAAAGAAAATGGTGTTCAGGCGAAAAATTCGAAGAATTTACCCCAAGTCTGCCTTTGTTCGCGGTGCCTCGCATATACTGAATCTCATTGAAAATGATCTTAATAATGTTGCATTGATACGAAATACTATTAGTACTATCAAAGCAATTATTACATTTTTTTCGTGAAAGCCCAAAAAAGAGGTCTTCTGTCCCAAATATTCCTCTTCTGTGTGAGACAAAATGGACAAGCAAGTATAAAAGTATTCAGATTTTTTCTAGTAAATTTGCAGACATTTATTGCCAACTGGAAACATTTTCTTTGCATGCAAGTGGAAATACACGACAGGCTTCACATCAGTTACATTGTTCATCAAAGTCCAGCACGTTTTTATTTTGTCTCAATATTATTTCTCAAGACTCTGCCATACTGGAACCAGTTACTCAGGCTCTTCTAGCCGTTGAAGTTGATCTTCCAGAAGTCCAACTGCAAGTTCAAAACCTGCACAGTGTAGTAAAACTTCACCGAGGTGATTCCGATAACTATTTCAGGGATATTTTTGTGAAAACACTACAACTCGCACAGAAAGTGGATATTGAGCTGATTATCCCAAGACAGAGTGGAAGACAAAAGTATCGAAGTAATCCGGGAACCATAAGTGTTGAAGAGTACTTCAAACTGTTTACATTCCATACTTATATTCTCTAATTAACTCAACTGAGAGTCGATTCTGTGAAGCCAACAGTGCACAATTTAACTTGGCGTTGCTACATCCTTCGAAATTGTGCAAACTGAATCGTAAAAAGTTTAACGATATAATGTCTACTATTATTCAGATATACTACATTGATAATTTTGAAACTTCTTCTTCTTCTTCTTCTTCTTCTTCTTCTTCTTCTTCTTTGCGTTCACCAGCTGTACACTCTGGCGTAAAGTTCTGGTTGCTCATCCACTTCTGGACTGCAGCCATGCTCCAGAACATGAGTGTTGCGTGTGCATCAGTTTTACGGATCTGATTCAATTGAATGCAGACTGTTGGTTCCTCGCCTCTCAGGCAGATGCACTCCGACTTCAAAGGAAGTTCCCCAGTTAGTCGACTCTTACGACATGCTTTTGGGGAGGCAGTGTGTCTATTCTTGTTTTCCCCACAATAGGGCCCCGGAACCCACACAGGGGAGGGAAAACGCGAGAATGCAGAAGTAGACTAGATTTTATCGACTTGTACCTTTTACAAAGTTTTATCTGAGTGTCAGGTATGTGTTACTATTTTTGCTAACATTACCAGCAACAACATGTACTGTGGAGCGATCGTTCAGCACATTACGTCGTCGTGTAAAACATGGCTTAGATCTGCAATGTGAGATAAACGTCTGTATGGATTGTTTATGTTAAGCAATTCCAGGCCAGCAACGAAACAAATAATGATTTGACCGTTGCTGGCGCTACGTCGTTCGTGGTTTGTGCGATTTATGAAAGTACTTACAACGAGCCTTGGTGTTATCCCTGGGAACTGCCAATATTTTTTTGTTCATACTTTACTTTTAGCATATTGAAATGTTTATTCAAAGTGAAAGCCACATAGGAAGGTGAGCAATTATTTTTTTTTAAATCACATGAAAAAGAAACACAAAGTAAGCACAGTGAGGCTACGGTTGAAACAAAGTAAGTGTGATTTGCGCACCCTTTTAATTATTCAGTACTGGGGCTGCCAGATATTTGAACTTTGACCCCAGTGAGAGTTCAAAGTTTGAGTAACTGAAAGAAAAAACAATAATAACTGGAAAAAAATATTCAACTCAAATCAAAAGCATCTATAAAAACATCTACCATAAGAAAAAAATATTTGACTCTAAATGAAAAGCATCTAGAAAAGCATCTACCATTTAAACGTCAAAAAGACATCTAAATAAAAAGAAAAACATACGAAAAGCATCTAGAAAAGCATCTACCATTTAAACGTCAAAAAGACATCTAAATAAAAGGAAAAAAAGGAAAAACATATGAAAAGCATCTAGAAAAGCATCTACCATTTTAACGTCAAAAAGACATCTAAATGGAAGGAAAAACATATGAAAAGCATCTAGAAATGCATCTACCATTTAAACGTCGAAAAGACATATAAATGGAAGGAAAACATATGAAAAGAATCTAGAAAAGCATCTACCATTTAAAAGTCAAAAAGACATTTAAATGGAAGGAAAAACATATGAAAAGCCTCTAGAAATGCATCTACCATTTAAACGTCAAAAAGACATTTAAATGGAAGGAAAAACATCTAAATGTGGATGTAAAATATCCGAAGTGGCAACACTGAACGTCATAGTAAAGCGCGCGCTTTGCGAGAGCGCGCTTTTGCGATGTGAACAACTTGGATGTAGAGAAACCGCGAGAAACCACAACCTGAACACCCTAGAATTTATTGGGAATGTCTCCTGTGACGTCATTGTGACGTCAGGGGTACGCAAAAAATATTGTACCCCATCTTCTTCTTCATCGTGTTCACAGGCTGTAAACTCAGGCAGAGAGTTCTGATTGTTTGTCCCCCTTTTCACTTTGGTCTCGTTCCAAAACTTGATGATTTGCATGTACATCTTTTTTACAGTTCTGGCTTATTTGTATGCAGAATGTTGGTTTCTTGCCTCTCAGGCAGATGCACTCTGACTTCGAAGGAAACACCCCTAGTCACTTTTTACTACATGCTTGTTGTTAAGGGGGAAAAATGGGGCCCTGGAACCCACACCGGAATCCTCACCATGTGATCCTTGGATCATCTCCCCTAACTTATTCTTCGATCATCCTTACCATGTGATCCTTGGATCATCTCCCCTAACTTATTCTTCGATCATCCTTACCATGTGATCCTTGGATCATCTCCCCTAACTTATTCTTCGATCATCCTCACCGTGTGATCCTTGGATCATCTCCGCTAACTTATTCTTCGATCATCCTTACCATGTGAATCTTGGCCAGAGTGTTTCTTCATCATGTTTGTCTTCTCTAAAGTATGTTCTTCTCACAGTGTGTTTCCTATCTATGACAGTGATGATTCCAATCCCCCAGAAGGAAGGATAGTTAAAGATGTCATCTGTTTTCATGCGGGCGATTTCCCAGTGCTGACAGGTCTGCTGCAACTAGACCTTCATGAACCTCCAGTCTCTCAGGTACAGTTAAAAATATCACTTGTCATTGGGCTTATTTGTGCTTTTTGTTGGTGTTGTTGTTTGTTTGTGTATTCTTCATGAACCTCTAGTCTCTCAGGTACAGTGGAAAATATCACTTGTCATTGGGTTTTTGTGTGCTTTTTGTTTTGTGTTGTTGTTTGTTTGTGTATTCTTTATGAACCTCTAGTCTCTCAGGTACAGTGGAATATATCACTTGTCATTGGGTATATTTGTGCTTTTTGTTGTTGTTGTTGTTTAGGTATTCTTCATAAACCTCCAGTCTCTCAGGTACAGTGGAGAATATCACTTGTCATTGGGTTTTTGTGTGCTTTTTGTTGTTGTTGTTGTTTGTTTGTGTATTCTTTATGAACCTCCAGGAACCTCCAGTCTCTCAGGTACAGTGGAGAATATCACTTGTCATTGGGTTTTTGTGTGCTTTTTGTTGTTGTTGTTGTTTGTTTGTGTATTCTTTATGAACCTCCAGGAACCTCCAGTCTCTCAGGTACTTTTTGTTGTTGTTGTTGTTTGTTTGTGTATTCTTTCTGAACCTCTAGGAACCTCCAGTCTCTCAGGTACAGTGGAGAATATCACTTGTCATTGGGTTTTTGTGTGCTTTTTGTTGGTGTTGTTTGTTTGTGTATTCTTCATGAACCTCTAGTCTCTCAGGTACAGTAGAATATATCACTTGTCATTGGGTATCTTTGTGCTATTTGTTGTTGTTGTTTAGGTAATCTTCATAAACCTCCAGTCTCTCAGGTACAATGGAACATTCACTTGTCATTGGGTGTCTTTGTGCTTTTGTTGTTATTGTTGTTTGTTTGTGCGTTCATTGGAAGTATCTTTTATATGAATCCAAGAAGGCTGACCTTGAAATGCCTGCAGATGTGTAATCTAAAAGGTGCAGATATCGCAGCTGTAGTGTAAACAGGAACTAAATAATTCATCATGAGCCATGCTGATAAACATAGGTTGTCATGTACGCAGACGGTGTATTATTTTGGTGGATTAAGTCACTGTTTGATTGCACCATGTTACTGCCACTTCTGGCCAGTTTGTCCGCTACTTCTTGGCCTTCCAAGCCACAATAACCTGGAATCCACTGCAGTACATATTGTTCTACTGAAAACCCTAAGTGAATCAAGTTTTCTGTCAAGTATACAAACTGCATGTGATTTTGATTAGTAACTGCTCATAGAACTGACACAGCATTGGTCATCAAGACCACTCTGCTACATTTGCTGTGCTGTTGTCCATTCAGGAAAGAGCATGCCATTGGAAGTGCTTCTGCCTCTGCTGTGTAACTGGAGGAATATGAAGTGTATCTGATTGTTGGATTTTGTTTTCACAGAAGTGTTTGAGGATTTTGTTTTTAACTTTACAATTATATTAACATTGAAATCAGCTGTGTGTATCCTTTACAGGACGTTGCAGAACTGACCTCCGTATTTTTGTTATCTGTTTGATTTAACTTAGCAGTTTCATGTTCATTAGTTTGCCATTGCTGCTTGGTGCTCAATACCATTGTCAAAATAAATGCAAAACAGTCAGCTGCTGCATAACATATAGCTGGAATTGAAAAAGGCACTTTAAAATGACAAAGCATGTTCACTCTGTCTTTGCCATGAGTGGCGACCAATGAACATTAGTGTCTGGTTTGTGGATTTTCTTTTCATGTTTAGGACAGTTATTTTATTAGCCAAGACATTCATCCAGTGAACTGTGACTAAAAGGTTTAACGAAAATGGGAAGCAGAACATGCACAAAACACACAAATTGATATTTTGGGCAGGGCCTTTTTCAACATGGACTAACTACACGACAATAACAAAGGGGATAGTACTCCAACCACCAGGTGAATCACCTGAGAAACTACAAAAAGGTGATGTAAAGTCTTTGTACATTTATTTAAACCATGTTGTGAGTGACTGATAAGTGGGTTGTCTTATCTTATTGTAGTGTGTCACGTGGGTAGAGGATGCTAAGTTAAACCAGCTGCGACGTGATGGCATCAGGTACGCCCGGATCACCTTGCATGATAACGACATCTACTTCATCCCTAGGAATGTCATCCATCAGTTCAGATCTGTGTCAGCCGTAACAAGTATCGCCTGGCACGTCAGGTATGTCGCTCGCTGTACGATATTCAGCTGGGGCAAGATGTCTACTACTTCTTCTTCCAGCTGTAAACTTTTGGCAGAAATTTCTGGTGTTCAACCACTTCTGGACTTTAGTCTTGTTCCAGAACCTGAGTTTTTCCTGCACGTCTGTACAGAATCAATGTTGTTTTTATGTATATGTTCTCAAAAACCGCATCTGCACTGCGAGTAGATGTTTTTCAGACTTTATATACTGTATAGACACACACACAAAAAGAAACACATAGTTATCCAATGGTACTTCCCTATTAAAAAAAAAAAAAAGTAATCTGATGGTGTGTTTTTACTAGTTGATGAGAAAGGCCCTTACTTACGCCTAAAAATAATCAGTGACCCAAATGCAAAAGAATTTGAACTGATTTGTTGAACCCTAAGGTATTCTTGTGTGCAGTTTGAACAATCTCACTCAATAAATTTCATATTTTGATTGGCAGATTAATGATAAAGTTATGTTCAGTAGCTATGTTATTTATTAATTTATTTTACAAAAAAACACTATTGGGTAATTCCGATTTTTTTTTTTAAATAATAAAACAATACTAGTTCTTTATAGCCCTTTAATTCTTTTTATTTGTCAATGCAGTTGACATCCTGTCATAGCCTCAGTTGTCTTAAAATCTTAATTCCTGATAAATGAAACAAAACATATCAAGATAGTTTTCAACTGAAGCAATTACATTAAATTTAGTCTTTGAAAATAAAATAAAAATGGAATTGTTTTATGTATTTACTTATGAAATAGACCCACATTTTTATAGACGAATCATAGTCCACACTCTTAGTCATTCACTTACTTACTTAGTCGACCCTCTTCTGCCTTGGGGAGTAGAGGTTTGCCAGAGAGATTGCAAGACTTCTCTACCAGCAGTTTCCTTTTTAGTTTTGTTCCATTCCAGTCTTCTGTCAGTCGGATGTTGCCTTCCCAGCCAATGCTGGGTCGTCCTGGAGGTCTGGTTCCCTGGTTCTTGGCTCTCTTTCTCGCCTACCCCAGTGGCCGATTCAACACTCAGTTGGTGTGAAATAGCTAGCACCCCAGCCAGTCACTTTTATTTCTTAAGTCATGCCCTTGTGCCTGTTTTAGGCCGGACTAACCTGTGAATTAAGATCACTTTATGAAAATCTACCAGAGGACGGATTTGAAACCCAGTCCCTCGCACACCAGTAGGCAAATAGCTATCCACCCCCATTACTGTGGCTTTCTGTATACATTTATTGATTACCACATAAAGTGTGTTTTCTTTCTTTGTCCTTCCCACAGCTGGAATTGATGATTCAAAATTGTCAATAATTTTGTGACTAGAAAGCTCTGTGATATGAACTTCCTGAATAGTTATGAGTTTGAGAAACAAATTGGTAGCCAGAAGGGGAAATAATGTGAACAAAAGTGGCGATTCTGATTGTAATCATCTTCAGCATCTGGCGTAGGCAATCGTGCCTATCTTCATTTTGTGATCTCAAACAGCCTGTATCAGTTTGTGTGCTGACACCCTCCATGTCATGACAAAAGGCTGCCAGTAAACTTCTGTTGTCTTCCTCTAGCTATTTCCATAACTCTTTCCAGTTGTCACAAGTTCCAGATTTTTTTCTTCTAATGGGGCCAAAAAATGACTGACTTCTGGTTGTGTACGGCTCTTAAACTTTTTCAGAATATCTGGATTACTCATTTTGATCGATTGATTGATCTTCATTAACACCCCTGACACAAAGTGCCACCATGCGGGTGAGGATCACTTGTGGAGAGGTCCCAGAAACTCCATTGAACTATTAGGTTTTATTAGAGCCCCCAGCAACAAGCAGGGTGGGGTTTCAAAATAACAAAAAATTTGTCCCACACTTTGACGGGATAAACTGAGATTACTTATTTTGACCTCCCAAGGAGTTTTAACCCTGGTGACTTAGGGGAAAAAACCAAGCTCCCATACTTTCCATTTTTTAAAATCCGTGGGGGGGGGGGGGGGGGGGGATGATTCCCTATAAAAGCAACCATTCTGTTTTACACATGCCATGCCCACACACAGAAATAACACAAAATCATTTTATCATCCAAGACACGAGCAAATACGATAGAGAGTAGGGAGAGTAATCGGTAAAAATGAATATGGCAAAGAATTCAACTGGCTTACATCCCTTGGGTTGTGGAAACAACAGCGGGACACAACCTGTGACCTGGTCACCCCCTTACTCACTATAAAAAAAAAAAAAAAACTGGAAAAATGTGACAGAAATGTCTTTAAATAAAGCCATTTTATTTAAACGACCCCCCTCCCCCATGCTTTGTTTAGACATTCCCTGCCACGCTGAATGTTTGCACAGTTAGTTGTGTATCCTTTGCAGGATGTTGCAGAACCAACCCCAGCATTTTTTTTTGGCTATTGCTGTTTTTCTTGGCAAATTTCAGTAGTTTGCCATTGCTGCCTGAATGGTCAGCTCTCTGTACCATTGTCAAAACCAGCGCAAGACAAATAGTCTGCAGCTGGGAACGAACCCGGCGTTATAAAGCACGTTTGCAAAGCCAAAGCCATATAGACGCATATGAATTAATTCTGTTTGCAAAATGTCTTTTAAACATGTCTCTATAAAGAGTCAAGAGAGCAGCTTTCACTCAAGTGTCAGTTTTGTGGCTTCTCACAGGGAAAGGGTTCAGGCTTATTGTAGGGGGTCTCTGCGGCGAAGTGGTCAAGCTGTTTGCCTCGCGCGCTAAAGGTCATGGGTTTGTTCCACAGCTTCAGCTCACAAGTTCAATTTTTATGGAGATTCCTGGGGATCGTCGCGGGAGCTACAGAGTTTGTGTTCTGCGGAGAGAGACAGAGCCATGTGGGATAAAACCGAATGCAATAAAGTTGATTCTCTGTGACTTTACCCCTTTTTAACTTTTGTATAAAACTACGCCTCTGAGGCCTGAAGGAACATTTTGGACAATAATAGAGGTTATAAACTATTTGAGCAACTTGGCAAGAGAGTTAATTTGGTATGAGACGGACAAGTTTATTTGTTACATGTTTTACATTCATTGACAACACATTCCTGATTCGCTGTCTTGTCTTTCAACAGGTTAAAAACCTACTACAAACATCTGTTCCAGTCAGAGGTACCTGAGGAGCAGCAGAGCTCTATAAAACAAGAGGGGGAGGATGCAAGTATAGCCATAAAGATGGAGGCCTGTGGTGAAGCGGTTCTAGACAATCATGAAGGTTGTGCTAAAATTATCACAGAGCCTGCCATTGTTCCTGTTGCCACGGAACCTGAAAAAATATCTAATGAAAAACATATGACAGAAAAACATGAGAAGAAAGTAACACCAGGAGAAAAACCTGACAAACATTCTTTGTCTACAAAAGAAAAAAGTGTCAGTGATAAGCACAAGGTAATTGATAAGAATATTCACGAGAAGAATAGTAAGGCTGCAGAGAAAGAAATCTCTGCACATTTGAAGGAAAAGTTGCCTCAGCCTTTGAGTGAAAAACCACAGGAAGTCAAGGTGACCAAATTAGACAGCAATAAGAAGCATGAAGCATCGTACAGATCTGAAACGCCAGCTAAGAGCAGTGAAAAATCTGTCAAGACTGATAAGATCACATCTTCGTCATCTGCGACTGGCCACAAACACAGAGATACTGACAAACTTAATGAAAAATGTAACATTAAGGCTACAGCATCTAATGGAACTGATAGCAATAAAGTAAAAGATGATAAATTCAACAAGGTTAATCTTAGTAAATCATCCAAATCTGATCAGAAACATGGCAGTCAGAAATCCAGCAAAGGTACATCTAACAGCAATAAAACTGATCTCGGAAAAATGGCTGGTAAAAATGACAGCAGTAAGAATTTTGTTAAAAGTGTAGATAAGAATACACCCTCAAGAGATGGTAAGAGTCACAAAGCAATGAAGGAAGCTGATTCGTTACACAGTGGGAAGCTAAAGAGCAGTGGCACCCATAAATACACAAGTAAGGACAGTAGTCATTTTAAGGAGAGCAAGGTTGTTGGTAGTGGAGAGACATCTAGAGCACAAGAAGATATGCAAAGCACAGACCATACAGATAAGGTTAAGAAAACATCCGGTGATAAAAGTGAAAAGCGCAGGCCAACTTTGGCATCGTTGATAACTTCTAAAGGAAAGGGTGGTGGGGAGAAGCACAAAGAAGAAAGCAGAAAAACAATGACTTCTGTCAAACATGGAAGCATATCTCACAGAGAGAGAGAAAAGACAAAAGATAAAAATGAATCTCATGGATTATCAAATAAACCCATTGGGGTAAAGCCACAACCTTTTCAGCCAATGTGTGATAAAAAGACTGCAGGCATTGTTTCATCCGGTGACAAACTTAGTGCCTTTTCAGCTCATCACACACCACCGGCAGACAACAACAGTAATTTGGTCAGTATTGATACTCTATCGCCAGGAAGCAAAATCAGTTTCCCAGCCAGTGGTCGTGTCTCCATCAGTGATGATTCTGGAACACCAGTCAATGGCAGTTTTCTTCTAACGTCTAACGAAGGCACCGAAAATACAGAAGATCCTCTAAAGACTGACGTTATAAACAAATCAGATATCGCACTTAATGCTGATGGCATTGCAGTCACATCTGACTCCCCTTTCTGTGAAGTGAACAGTAAAGAGGTTTCTCAGCTGAAAAATAGTACCTCAGTTGTTCTTGGAAATCCACAGATACATGGAGACAGTAAAGCTGATGAAGATTCTTCTACCTTTAAAGACAATAGTGGTCCTGTAGTTAAGAGTAACTTCACTAGTCCCAGTTGTGATTCTGGCAGTGTCCAATGTTTGGATCCTTCAGGGCATATATGTCAGGTGACATTCATTGAGAAATTCCACACCTCATCTGCTACTTCTCCACAATTTCCGGAACAGATCATCCCTCTAGAACACAAGGACAGTTTAAGAAATGAATGTGTGAATCCGTTACCGTCTGAGAACAGTGTTACTACTGACTTACAGACGGAGGTAGATTATCTTAAAAAAAATTCAGGAGTGAAGAGAAACTTATCTGGTGATGGTTTTATGTTAGAAATTCCCACGAAGATTCCAAAAATAGTCGAAGACACTGATCGGTTAAATACCAATAAAGGGCAGCAACTTTGCAGCATGGGAGAGAATTATATGAAAAAGGACACACATTTATGAAAGTTGCATCTGTTGTACATTTTTCTTTACCAGTAAATGTTCTTTGTTATTTTGGACGGTGACTACATTTTCATTGATTACAAACACTTTCATTCATTACCAGTACTTGCATTGCCCACAATCTTTCTTTTGACTACACTTTCATTACTAACAGAAACTTGCATTGCCTGCAGTTTTTCTTGACTACAAACACTTTCATTTCCTACCAATACTTATATTGCCTACTCTTTGATTACAAACACTTTCAATCCTTACAGCTACTTGCATTGCCTGCAATCTCTCTTGACTACAGACACGATCATTCCTTACTAATTCCTTTTTTTTTTTTTTTTTGCCTACAGTATTTCCTTTCATTGTAAACACTTTCATTCCTTACCAGTGCTTGCATTGCCTACAATCTTTCCTTTGACTACAAACATTTTCTTTCCTTACAAATGCTTGCATTGCCTACAGATCTTTCCTGTGATTACAAACACTTTTATTCCCTACAAATGCTTGCATTGCCCACAATCTTTCCTCTGACTACAGTTATATTCACTGAACTACAGACACTTGTATTGCCTACAGACAGTTTAATTCATTATGGATATTTTCAGACACTGCGAACATTTTTGATCCGGTCACTATCATTGGTAATAAACACTTTCAATCAATCAGGTGCCCTCTCCACAATGAAGGTTGGCTGCAGTGGATCTCCAACAAGCCCTGTCTCTTGCCCTTGATGTACACTCACTCATACTGCTGTTCGTCCATCTCTTGATGTTATCCTCCTACTTGTAACGCTGTCTGCCTTTTGCTCGCCTACCTTGAACCTTTCCCTCTAGGATAATTTTTACAATACTGTTATGTCTTTTAATGTGGCCAAAATATTTCACTTGTCTCTTTTTTAGTTCATTTTGTTAAAAATAAAAACTTTTATTGACTGCAAACACTTTCACTCACTACAGATACTTACGTTAACTACAAACATTTCACGCCATAGACACCACTCACTACAAACATTTCACTCACTACAAACACTTCACTCACTAGATCACATTCATTACAAACATTTTACTTGCTGAATCACTGACATTAACTACAAACACTTTATTTACTACGAACACATCACTCAATAAATCACGTACATTAACTATAAACACTACACTCATTAAAACACTTACATTAACTATAAACATTTTACTCACTACAAACACTTCACTCTACTCACTACAAACACTTCACTCACTACAAACACTTCACTCTACTCACTACAAACACTTCACTCACTACAAACACTTCACTCTACTCACTACAAACACTTCACTCACTACAAACACTTCACTCTACTCACTACAAACACTTCATTCACCACAGACACTTCACTCTACTCACTACAAACACTTCATTCACCACAGACACTTCGCTCTACTCACTACAAACACTTCATTCACCACAGACACTTCACTCTACTCACTACAAACACTTCATTCACCACAGACACTTCGCTCTACTCACTACAAACACTTCATTCACCATAGACACTTCACTCTACTCACTACAAACACTTCATTCACCACAGACACTTCGCTCTACTCACTACAAATACTTCATTCACCACAGACACTTCACTCTACTCACTACAAACACTTCATTCACCACAGACACTTCGCTCTACTCACTACAAACACTTCATTCACCACAGACACTTCACTCTACTCACTACAAACACTTCATTCACCACAGACACTTCGCTCACTACAAATATTTCACTCACTGAATCACATAAACTACAATGTGGGGCCTGCGTGGTCTTGGGGCATGTTGTCCGCCTAAAGTGGTGGAGGTCCTGGGTTCAGGCCCTGATAAAGGCTGGGATTTTTAATGTGGACTTCTAGCAATTTCCCCTGGTCTCTGGGTAGTAAGATCGGGCACCCATGTATATTTGTGCGCACGTTAAAAATATGTATGTTGGATATAAAAAAGAGTAGTCTAAAGGCGCTGCCCAGGCAAAATTTTGGGTAAAAAGTCTGCCTAAAGCATTTCAGGATCCTGGCCGGTGCGACAGAGTTTGTGCACTTCGCTGAGATTATTCGGACTCTGGCTTGAGTCAGAAGTAGAAAGGAGCACTTATGGGTTACCCCTTGTACCATGTTGATCCGTTGTCTTAACCTAAACCTAAACTTCACTCACTAAATCACTTACATTAACTACAAACACTTCACTCACTACAAAAACTTATATTAACTACAAACACTCCACTGACTACAAACACATTAACTACAAAAATCTCACTCGCTACAAACACTTACATTAACTACAAACACTTCACTCACTACAAAAACTTATATTAACTACAAACACTCCACTGACTACAAACACATTAACTACAAAAATCTCACTCGCTACAAACACTTACATTAACTACAAACACTTCTCTCACTAAATCATTTACAATAATTACAAACATGTACATCTACTACAGACAATTACATCAACTACAGACACATCAAATGCAGAAACACAACTGCAGACACATCAGCTGCAGGTACTCACATCAACTGCAGGCACTCACATCAACTGTAGGCACTTACATCAAATACAGACACTTACATTAACTACAGATGCTTACATCAACTACAGACACTTACATCAGCTACAGACACTTACATCAACTACAGACACATCAGCTACAGACACTTACATCAGCTACAGATACTTACATCAGCTACAGACACTTACATCAGCTACAGACACTTACATCAGCTACAGACACTTACATCAGCTACAGACTCTTACATCAGCTACAGACACTTACATCAGCTACAGACACTTACATCAGCTACAGACTCTTACATCAGCTACAGACACTTACATCAGCTACAGACACTTACATCAACTACAGACACTTATATCAACTACAGACACTTACATCAGCTACAGACACTTACATCAGCTACAGACACATCAACTACAGACACTTACATCAAATACAAACACATCAAATACAAACACATCAACTATGGGCACTTACATCAACTACAGGCACTTAATCAACTACAAACACTTACATCAACTACAGACACTTACATCAACTACAAACACTTTCACTGACCGCAAATATCTTTCTTTTAAGATTGACTCATCACTGCCATGTTCCTTTGTCAACTAGTGTGGGGCTTCATTGCTCTCCCCGGCCCTTGTTCCTTGGTATCTGGGTCAGTTCTAGTGATGATATTCCTCCATGCCATTGTTTTAAACCCTCCTGCCTCATTTCTCTCAGCCTGCTTCTTCTGCCCCTGATCTTTAGAGCTGTCACAATAGTTTTTTTATGCCTCTGTTTTCTTGTGTCTTGTGACTAAACAATCCTGTTTTATATCTGTGTTATACTTGCAATTAATGTCCTACTTTTAAACTGTTATTAGTTATTTTAACAATCCAAGCAACTTCATCTCTGAAACTGCATTATGCTGACTCATAGCTCTTGTTAATTTGTTCTCTCACATTCCGGAACTCAATTCTCATAAATCAGTATGTTCGCTATAAAATGTAAGTGTTTTCTTAAGACATTTTATTGAACATTAACAACAAATATCTTCATTGACACAAAAGTCACTTCATCTTAAGCTCAGTGTCATTGAACATTGACAACATGTATTGTCATTGACACACAAAAGTGACTTCATCTTAAGCCACCTCAATCAAGCATTGACAACAAATACCTTTATTGAAACACAAAAGTCACTTTGTCTAAAGTCACCTCAATCAAGCAGTGACGACAAATACCTTCATTGAAACACAAAAGTCACTTCATCTTAAGCCACCGCAATCAAACATTGACAACATATACCTTTATTGACACACAAAAGTCACTTCACCTGTCCACGAGTTGCTATGTACCATGTGTAATAACTGTGTGTTTATTGTCTGTTCCTTACCGCACATACTTGTGTGAAAATAATCTCAACTTTTTGATATCGTAGCAACAAACTAGAAATTAAAATGATGTGAGCATACAGAAACTAACTATAAATGGCAGTTTTGATTCCACCTAACTATGCATTAAAATGATATGATTATGTAGGAACTAACTATAAATTAATATGATTTGATCATCTAGAAATGTAAGGTCATTTTGAAAATATATGAATGAAGTCATCAGAGAGAAACAGATGACATAGAACAGTTGTAAATTACAGGCAAAGACAGCAATTAAAATGACCATGTAGGCCGTGCTAGACCATACGAGAGATGTACCAAAAGACGGGTGAAGAGCACAAGGTAGGCCAAGAACAAAACAGAAAGGTAACATCAGAGAAACTGTACAGTAGTACGTTGTGTCTAGGCTCGAGGAGGCCAAAAGAGCAACAACCAGAACCTCATATACCTCCCCAACACAGTAATTAAAGAAGGGAGCAACTGTAGTTTAAATATTTTGAGTATAGGGGGATCATGTATAGATACAATTTTCTTTTTTAAAATCACGTGGGAAGCAACTATGGATAAATATGTTATGAAAAACTTGAAGATAAGCTGTAACAGATAATTATGACAATGAGAAGCCTGTTATCAGTGACAAGTTTCTTGATCATTTTTGAATAGCTATAACTAAAAGTGTTGTGGTCACGTAGGGAGCAACAAATCAACATGTGGGTTTTCACTTGGCATGGAGTACACATCAGAATCACACCAATATTCATTTTGAAAATGCTTTTGTTTTAGTTTCTTTGTTTTTTTTTTATTTTGTGAAAACTGCCAGCGAAAAGTAATCTATGTTAAACTGATAGAATTATGCAATTGTTGCATCTTTTCAATTACAATGTCTTATTTGTCACCACAGCAACACTATCACCTGTTTTATTTTTGAAATGTTCAGAGTCAATTTGATTGTTCTTGAGTAAGGTTTGCCATACAAGTTTTTCTGCCGTTTGAAAAGCACAGGGTGGCTGTGGCATTTGTGATATGAGTGTTAAAATTTGCCACATGAAGGGAAGTTGATTTCATTATGTTATAATATTTTT